ACGCTATTTCTGACATTTGGATTGAAAAATCTTCCTGGATGGAAGAGAAACGTCTTCAAACTTGGAACAAAGTCTCAGTTTTGATATTTTTTCCCGTTTCAAAATTATTTTTCAGTAAAAAACATTTTTTTTAAACAAACTTTCTGGCCCAAATTTAGCTCCATACAAACCAGGAGTTATTAAAAGGGGAGAATTCTCCCAGACGAGCTGAGAACCTCCTGCAGACGTCAGGTGGACGTACCTGGATGCCTTTGAGCGAGGACGCTCCCATGTAGAGGAAGACTCCGTACAGAACCGGCATCGGGATGAACTGCAGAAAAGAGCGAAAGCTTGAGATTTTCCCCAGAGGATCGCTGAGGTGTCAAAGTTCGCCCGACGCTTCACCTTCAGCGCAGACGTCATGAAGACGGAGCAGCCCATCAGGACGAAGATCATGAAGCCCGTGACGCGCTGCTCCCTGATCCCCAGGAACTTGGGCTGCTCGCCCGGCGCGGCGCAGCCAGACTCCACCTTCAGACTGTTGACGTGGGAGATGGAGAGAACGGTGGCCGCCACGAACCAGGGCAGGCCCATGATGGAGCACACGCCCAGCATGACGGCCACCACCAGCAGGTCCAGGTGGTAGCCGCAGCCTTTCTGCAGGCAGAACACAGACCAGGACGGAAATTAAACCCGAGCACTGAGCGTCTGCTCGCCGTTCGCCGCCCGCACTCACCTTCAGCTTGTTCTCCTTCCTGTTGATGATGATGGCGGTGATCTGCTGGTCCATGAAGATCAGGATGGTGCAGAGCAGAGCCGGGATGGCGGCAGCCAGCAAGGTCCACCAGGGGTTCGTTCCCAGCGGAGATATCAGCCAACCCCGATTGATGGAGGTGGGCTGCAGGACGAGGAACGCCGTTAGATCCAGATTCCAAGTTAAGGAACCAAAGCTGGAGGAAACACTGAGGGACTGTGGGCGGGGTCACCTGGAAGCGGTCTGGAACATGCAGCTTGGGAGAAGGAATCCCCACCAGATAGTCCAGCAGCACCATAATCATGATGGTCAGGAAGACGGCGAAGTCACTGATGGTCGCCCTGACCTGCAGACGCAACAGGAGGAACAAAATTAAACTGAAGCACCGAATGTTTCTCTGCAGCAGAAAAACCGGCAAAACGTTTCCTGAAGATCAGAGGAACGTTTCCCAAAGATCAGAGGAACGTTTCC